TCGTATAAGTGTCCTCCTTCCTAATGATGAGCCAGATTCTACTACAAACATTGTTTATCCTGAATTTTTGTTATAGTGTTACTTATGGATCAAACCACTTTTGTCAAAAGGTACAATTTATTTATTGATAAATTTGTTTCTATTGATTACAAATTGTTATTTTTAAAATATTTTACTATATGTGTCGACTTTTGTAGGATTGGGTTAAAAAATATATGGAGCTCAAAAAGATAAATACAACTAGATTGCTTCGATGGGGATATAACAAGGTAATTTCAATTTGAAAGTGTTTTGATATATTTATATAAATTTTCTTTTACTAAAATACTAACTTTTTTTATTTTCATAAATTAGTAGATTGTCGTGCATGCTCCTTACTGGGGATACAAACAAGTTGATGCAAGGACTTTTTGGAAAGTGATGAGGCACTCCTAGGATTTCTAAGAAAGAACAAGTTTGAATCTCATATTTTTTTTTGAAAAGCGTACATATGCTAGCTACGATCCATATTTTGTAAAGTTTCCGATCGATGTGAAATTTATTACTTATAATAGTTTTGTAAAGCCTTTTATCTATGTGAAATTTATAACTAAGTTTAGATGTATGTTAGACAATATTCATTTGAATTATTGACTTATGCTATGAGTTTGTTTTTGTAAATGTAACACACTAGGTGATAGCTCCTAGGATTTCTAAGAAAGAACAAGTTTTGAATCTCATATTTTTTTTTTGAAAAGCGTACATATGCTAGCTACGATCCATATTTTGTAAAGTTTCCGATCGATGTGAAATTTATTACTTATAATAGTTTCGTAAAGCCTTTTATCTATGTGAAATTTATAACTAAGTTTAGATGTATGTTAGATAATATTCATTTGAATTGTTGACTTATGCTATGAGTTTGTTTTTATAAATGTAACACACTAGGTGATATAGTCTTTTTTGTTTTTTTTTGTTTTTTCTTCCTAATATACTCTTGAATTAGGTTAAAGAAAACTAATCATATTTTTATTTGGTTGAATTTGAATTTTTGCCTTCATATATCTTTTTATCAGGAAGGGTGTTGCATTTTCTTTGTATTACAGAACATTGGCTGGTGTGCTTAATTTGTTATTTGAAATTTTTTTTGTATTGCAGAGCACTGGCTGGTATGCTTAAATTGTTATTTGGCATTTTTTTTTTGTATTGCAGATCATTGGCTGGTGTGCTTAATTTGTTGTTTATTTTTTTCTATTGCAGAACATTGGCTGGTGTATATAGATGTTTCTGTGTTGTGGGACTTACATTTTGTTGTTTGTTTAAAATCTTATACTTTTGTTGTGCTTGAATTTTACGTAGCATTTATGTGTTTACTTTTCACTATTTCGTTTACCTATAAATTTGAAAATTTTATGTTTAAATTGATTTATTCACCAAGTAACATACAATTTATTTATTTTTCATTTATTTAATTTTCTGCACAATAAACTGACCATCAAACCATAAAAATTGGTAGATTTTAACTATAACATTAAAATTGATGCAAAACTATAGCTATGAGATCTCTCTTCTTTATTTCAACCAAAACTCACTATCTAAAAAAATGTGGATATAGAAATTTATTTGGGTACTGTTATTGGCCAGGATAATAAAATACTTATTTTCTATTACAAATTGCAAGTGGGTTACATAAACAAAAATACTACAATAGTAAATATTTGGTGATATGATCTTTGTTTGCATTTGTGTTATCACTATTTTCACGTTTTATTGGCCAATGTAATAATTGTGTCATCACTATTTTCAATTTCTCCATCTCTCTAAATTTTATGATGCAAAATATTTAAATTGAGTGGATCTGAAAAGTGAAAAATATTGATTAAAATATTAAAAATTTCACTAAAAATAATAAAATACAAATTAAAATTTTACAAACTATTTTTGGAAACTCTAAAACCAAGTAAGTTTTGAATTTTAAATTTGTAAAAATTATTTTAAATTTTTAACATATACAACCAAACAAAATTTTGAGTTTGACAAACTCTTTTCAAAAATCTAATTATAAAATTCATTTGAAAATCCACAACCATACGGATCATTTATTTATATTTTCACCTTAATTTTTTTCTCAACAAATTAAATAAATTACATTTTAACCCAACATTTTTATATTCAATTACATTTTAATACAAATTAATATTTTCACCGTGTTTTCAGGCACGGGCATACCTTAGTTAATAAATATATAAAAAGACAAAAAATATATTGAATTCTCATTTTTTTTAATATATTTTTGGTATTTAGTGAATTTTTAAAAGGTTTTTTTCACAATTTTTTTTACTTTTTAGCTATACTTATGTTAGGTATGTCTAAAAAGTAAAAAAAAAAAATTGCTTAAAATATTAAAAAAATTCAGTAAAAACAAAAAAACACGAAAAACAAGAAAGTAAAATATTCTGAAAAGTGTTTTTGGAAAACTCTAACCAAGCAATTCCAAAAGTTTGTTATGTTTTTTCGTAAATGCAAAGTAATTTACTGTATACTTTATAATATAATAATATATAAAATATCTAAAAAGTATTATTTACATTAATATAGTTATAAAGATCTAAAATATATACAACCACACAAAAATCACACAAAACTATAAATTAATACAAATTAATAAACTAATGAAGTGTATATTAAGGGATTAAATGTGTATATTTAGGCACCGATCATGTACCAACTAACATAATAACTAAGACAAAAGGCACATATGTAGGTTTCACCATTTAACACGGTCCTATCTAATATTGTATTTAGTTAATGTGTTAGTTGGTACACTAATTAGTTTTTCTAATATTATTGTTTAAAAAATGCTTAGGACTTATAGATATTCAAGCCTACTAAATAGTATTGACTGGTAATTAACCATTAATTTTGAGAAAGAATGAATTCACATTTTATGTTTATTATTTTGTTCTTCAACCTTAGTTGAGTCTTGTAGATGTTGCTAAAAGTTACATTGATATCGCTAAACTCTTTTGTTATTGCTACTTAATGAATGTTGTTGGAGGCTCTTGTAAAAGAAGAGATAAGCAAGTTGTTAAAGTTGCAGAAGCATTAAACACTGGTGAACTCGCTTGTGAGTAAGTTGTTAAAGTTACAGAAGCATTAAACACTGGTGAACTTGCCTGTGAGTAAGTTGTTAAAGTTGCAGAAGCATTAAATAATGGTGAACTCGTTTGTGAGTAAAGATTTAAATCAAGAAACTAGTCTTAAATGGGTTAGTGATACACGTTTGAAATTACATTATAGGACAATTATAAAAGAGTTGAAGCTCGTCATCTAATAGATTCAATTCAGTCCTTTGATTTTGCTTTCAATGTACATAGGGCCAGCCTGAGATTTGTGAGGGCTAAGGCGAACTATAAAACTAAGCCCCTCTTATATATATATACTAGTGGTGTGGCACATGCGATGCATGTGCAATTCAGATAAATAAGCATAAAAACAAATAATAAAGAAATTAATGCTATAATATGTATATTGTCTAAATGGTAAGAGTGTTCTTAATGAAACCCAAGGTCTTGGGTTCAAATCTTACTCATGCCTTTGAATAACATTTTTTTATTTTAGGATAGAAAAATTTGCCACGTGGCAGAAGGAGAAGCTACCACACTATTAGACACCAAGTCATGTGCTCACATATATAATAGTATAGATATATATTAATACAAAATTTTATTCATAAAATGATAAGTATCAACAAATTTTTTATTTAAGTTTACTTGCACATATAATCATTAAAATTATAAACTAAAATTTACTTTCATATACACTGTAACAAAATTAAATTTTTACGGCTTACAATGCATGCTGTAAAAACTCTTTCACGGCATACACACAAATGTCGTTATATAACATACCGTAGAAAGGTAATTGTCATTTACAGCATACATGTCAAGTTGTAAAAAAAAACATTTATGGCATACTTTGTATGCCGTATATAATCTTTTACGACATTTTTTTGCATGTCTTAAATTATTATACTTTTTACAGCATAATTTTGCATACCGTAAAATGTTATTTTTAATATATTTATGGCATACTTTGTCTGTCGTATATAATCTTTTATGACATTTTTTTGCATGCTATAAATCGTTATGCTTTTCACAACATAATTTTGCATGTCGTAAAAGATTATTTAAAATATATTTATGACATACTTTGTATGCCATATATAATCTTTTATGATATTTTTTTGCTTGCTATAAATCACTATACTTTTCATGGCATGATTTTGCATGCCGTAGAAGATTATTTTTAATATATATACATTCATTATCTTGTTTCTATATCTCCTGGTATATTTTACCTGTTCTATTCAATTCCTTACATCATTACAAAACCATTTCTTACTCTATACAACATCAAACAATATTACAAATATATATATATATTAATTCAACCAAATCACATCAAAATTCCAAATTTACATAAATGTCAACCAAATTCATATTCACTACTCATCTAACACAAATAAATAAACTCACACTAGCATCATTTTAACATTCAAATACAAAAAACTTAACAAAAATGTATAAACCACATGGCACCAACTTCTAAAAATCAAAGAAGACTGCTGAGATGGCGATTAAGAAAAGAAAAAAAAAGGATTCATAGAATTGTCAACAAATCTTCTTGTTAACACATCCCCAAATCTTCTTGGTGACAAAGAAAAAAGAAAAGATTGTTGACATTGTCACAATCGTGTTCCTTCTGAGACCATTGAGCTATTATCCAAAGAGCATCACAATTTTTCCTTGGTTTCCTTACCCAATATACGGACCTCTAAACTTTGATTTTTGTTTGTGAACAAAATCTAAACACAAGAAATTTGATTTCTGTTTGTGAACAAAATCTAAACACAAATATCAATATCAACTAACAATCAGCACATACGGAGTCATGATTCTTTAGCTCTTACTACTCCAAACAAGGTGCAATGTAAACTATTGAAAAAGACAAGCACAATATTCATTTACTTCAATAGTACTTTATTACTTCTGCTACCAAGTTATTTGGGTGTATAATAATTAAGATCCAATCAATTAACATAACATGAAAGTACCAAATATCAGCAATCACTTCTCATCCATAGCCTATACCAAAAACTCACCTACAAGATCAATTAGAATCCGGTGCTTGCATTATGATAGCAAAATAGCATCCCAAAATCCCAAGCTTCTGGCGTCCACAATAAATGAATTGTCCACTACACCAATCTACATCAACAAAAGTCAGCCGGCTTGCCGATTTTAATGATCTGCTCACCTAGATAACCTGTAATAGCATTTTTTTGCCAGCTCTTGAAACTCCTGCAACCAAACATCAGTGTGATGTACTATGAAGAATTAAAATTCTTCCAACCAAAAATCAGACAACCTAACTAATTACCAGTTTGGCATGAGCTAAAAAAGCTGCTTTTTAGATAAAAAAAGTCAAAAAGCAAAAGACCGTTCTTTTTTAGCTAAAAAAAGCCAAACTTTCCCATGAACAAAAAGACAACTTTTTAGCAACTACCAAATGCAACTAAAAAAAAGCAATAATTAGAAAAGCACTTCGAGTAATGTAAAACTTGAAATTTTATAACTCAAGTCCACTGCAGTAATAATTAAACTAGCATATGCCATATTTTCGGTGATGAAATGTTAAACTAGCATATGCCGTATTCAATGGCTTGGCTTGGCATGCTCTTTCTATGTTTAAAAAGGAAAGGACTAGACTAGACTATATACATATGTATGTATGTATGTATGTATGTATGTATGTATGTATAGAGAGGAGAGAGACTAGACTAGACTAACAAAAAGAATTCAACTTTACATCTCAGACTATTATTACCTATTATTACCTTCACCTCTGGAGATGTGGTTTTAGCCTAGTCTAATAGTTGAGACCTGCATTAATTGTGCCTCAGATTGTAAGCATGCTTAGTGAGAGGGTAATTTATATATAAATTGGGCCGAGCTGGGTAAATGGGCCATTCTGTGGGCCACGGTAAAAAGAGCTGAGTAAAAGAGCCGTGTAATTAGTCCGGTCCAAAAGAGCCTTGCAGGTAGTCCGGTCCGAAGGAGCTTGGTGGTTAGCTCGGTCACCACGATTGGCGCGGTAACAGGTATCTCGGTCATACTATGTTGGGCCGAACTATGTTAAGCTTTCCTCAGAACCTTGCTATTGGCTAGCTCGGTCCAAGCTCAATGTGATCAGTCTGGTTTCAGACAACCCAGTTGGAATATGTCAACCGAGGTACACGCGCAGTGAAAGGAAGAACCGAGCTAGGTAGAGCTCGGTCTAGTCTGCAGCTTTAGCATGGCCATGTTATCTCGGTCATATTGACATCCAACAATGGTAAAATCATCTCACTTGGTTTAAACAGTGAGGGGGGTGTTAAATGATAAGCATTATCTTTCAGGAATATGATTCCTAGGAGGACTCTACATAGAGGAGTAAGAGTCCTACTAGGATTGTGCCACATGGAACCTATAAAAGCTCATACCATCACCTATGGAGAGGTAACCAAACTTTGATTCTCGAATACACAGAGCTTTTGTTTATTTGTCTATTTTGTTGACTTAGGCATCGGAGAGGTATCCGACACACACCCGCCGACTAGCTCACGTTTGTGTTTTCATGGAGTAAAGCGACGACGTTTGGAGGAACGCGGACTTTATCAATAGGATTATACGAGAAGATTATTTATTGCTCGTACAATTGGTGCCGTCTGTGAGAATCACAGAAAGAACAAAACCTCTTGATCAAAGTGTTCCTCGCTAGATTAGACGCAATGGCACACAATGAAGATTTGTCGCAGTCCGCCATTGACGGGCAAACCCCAGAGGGAGGTGGGAGGCGCAAAGGTTTGCCTTCCATCCCTCCCATGGCAGATCTGGAGCCCCAGCGACAGAATCCCCGGAGGGATGCAAGGGGAAGGCGGGGTAACAGTCCCCGTCGCTCATCAAGCCCCGATAGGCAGAGGAGGAGGATCGACCCTTAAGTTTTGGAGGATCGGGTAAAAGAGCAGGACGAGTTAATCAGGAAGATGGCGGCGAACATGGAATTGATGAAATGCCAGATAAAAGGGAAAGGGGTGGCGACAGGAGAGGGGCGCAAAAGCAATACGCCTCCTTGCCACTCAGAAGATCGTGGTAGGCATACCACGCCATCGCAAGCAGAGAGTAAGAGCCTCAGAATAGGCGATACTCAATCAAGGACTTCCAGAACTCGTTACTCCAGGTCTGAGAGAACGAGATCATCGAGGTCTTACACCGAGGGAAGCACCTATCGGCCCTCACATACGCACCAGACATCATCTAGGCAAACGGAGTTGCCTAGATCGTCCGACTTACGGACTGTGCTTGAAGAAAGGACATGACAGAAAGAGGATGCCAGGGAACGCGACCCGCACAGAGTTTCAGTCCTTCAGCGGTTAGCTCCTCGGACGTATGGAAGTGTTGAGGTAGGAATGCCAATACTGCGCCTTGCCTATGAACCAACAGATAAAGCACTAGCAAGGTTACATAGCTCGCCGTTCGTTCCGGCGATTGAGAATGCACCCTTACCTTCAGGCTTCATCCAGCCTAAATTTACAACGTACGAAGGGAAGACAGACCCTTACATGCACCTAAGCCACTTTCGCCAGGTCATGGCAGTATACCGGCGGAACGAGGCTTTGATGTGCATCCTATTCCCATCCAGCCTTGGCGACCTAGGTTTAACCTGGTTCGAAAGGTTACTAAAAGGTAGCATAGCCTCCTGGGCCTAGTTAGCGGAGGCGTTCGTGACAAGGTTCAGAACGAACAGCAAGACGCCAGTAGAGATCGATCAACTACTCTCCATTGACATGGGTGACAAGGAGACGTTGAGATCCTACAACAGTCGTTATTGGGAGACCTTCAACCAGATAGGAGATTGTCCCACAAATCTCGCCATCGCGCAATATAAAAGAGGACTTCCAGTCGGAAATAGGCTGAGGGACTCAATTACCATGACACCTCCCCTCATAATGTAAGCTTTAATGGAGAGGGTACACCATTACATTCGAGTGGAGGAGGATGGCGCCCGTGCTAAAACAAAGTCTGGTACAGCCGCAATACCAGATAAAAAGACTTCGGCAAAAGTCAATGCAATAGAACGTCCAAGCAAGAACGGGCGAGGTAGGCGAGACAACAGAGAAGACCAAGATAAAAGATGGTTGAGAGTTCGCACTGCCATTACCACGGTATTCAAGAAACCAATCTACCGAATTCTCAGTGAGATACGTGATGAACCTTTCATCAGATGGCCAGCTAAGCTGGGAGAAGCGCAAAAGGACTACGACGAAAGATCTCGGTGCACCTTCCATAAGGAAAAGGGGCACCGCACTAAAAATTGCATGCCGTTGAGACAGAATCTGAAGGAGTTAGTGGCAGCTGGTCACCTAGACCGGTACATAGAAGGAGGGACGCAGCCGGCCCCCCAAAACCACGATCATCCAGACGGAACACCGATTGACGCCCCACCTCAAGATGTGATAAACGTAATACATGGGGTATTCGAGCCTGAGCGAGTATGTGAGCTCAGGGGAATGATAAAGAAGGCTGAGCACTTAAGGGAGGTATTAAGTACACAGCCCACCATTAAAAATGGGAGAACAGAGGCCACGAATGTCATGTCTTTTTCAGACAGAGACTTGGCAAGGATATATTGTCCTCACAATGATGCACTGGTCGTCACTCTCTGCGTCAAGGATTACGACGTCAAGCGAATTTTGATCGACCAAGGAAGCTCATGTGAGATAATGTACTATGAAACTTTCAGACAGTTGAAACTGGAGGACAAAGACTTGGCACCTGCCGTATCTCCCCTAATCGGATTCAACTCAATGCTAGAGTGGCTAGTTGGCAAGATTATCCTTCCAGTCAGAGCAGGAAGCATGACGAAACAAGTGGAATTCTGGGTATTGAAAGTCCCTTCCACTTACAACATAATTTTGGGGAGAACATAGCTGCACGCCATGCGATCGGTAGCGTCAACCTACCATCAAGTAATGCGGTTCCCCAACGAAGCCGGAGTAATTGAAGAGGTCTATGGAGACCAAATTATATCCAAGCAATGCTTCGTCACAATAAATGGCAGCCAAGCTGCCAAATGGTTTGTTCAGATGGTGGAAGAACCTGAGAGCAATGAATTGTTTGCGGATGTTGGCAAAGCCGCCGAACAGAAGGCAGTGGAGAACTTGGTACAGGTATGAATAGATGAAAAGGACCCAGAAAATTTCTTTTTGCTTGGCTAATCTATGTCCAGCACCGAGAGAATAGAGGTCATGGAATTCTTGACCTCTAACATTGAAGTGTTTGCCTAGATGCCGTATGACATGCTTGGCATCGACCCAAACTTCATCTGTCACCAATTAATTGTCCACCCAACTGCAAGACCAATCATACAGCGCACTCGCAGATCAGCACTCCACCACGCCGAGATAATGGCGGAAGAAGTGGAAAACCTTCTAGAGGTAGGAGCTATCAGAGAGGTGCACTATCCTAAGTGGATATCCAACACAGTAATGGTGCCGAAGAAGAATGGAAAATGGCATGTCTGTGTGGACTACAAAACAGTCAGCAAAGCATGCCCAAAGGACAGCTTTCCTTTACCACGGATAGACCAACTGGTAGACCTGACGGCAGGACACAACCGTCTTAGCTTTCTTGATACGTACAGAGGTTACCATCAAATCGCTATGTATGAGCCAAACCAGGAGGTCACATCTTTTACGACGCCAAGAGGACTGTATTGTTACAAGGTCATGCCCTTTGGCCTAAAAAACGCAGGGGCAACATTCCAGCGGATGATCACCAAGATGTTCGAACCATTGTTAGGCAGAACAATGGAGGCTTACATCGATGATATGGTAGTCAAAAGTAAGGATGAGAATGACCATCTCAGGGACCTAGGTGAGATGTTTCAAATCCTAAAGAAGCACAAATTGCGCCTTAATGCATCTAAATGTGCGTTTGGTGTAGGATCAGGCAAATTCCTGGGCTTCCTGGTGACCAACCGAGGTATAGAAGCAGACCTCTCTCAGATCAAAGCAATTCAGGAAGTAGAGAGACCCAACTCTGTAAAAGAAGTATAGCATCTCACCGGCATGGTAGCCGCGCTAAACCGGTTCATAAGTCGGTCGTCAGACAGATGTCGACCATTTTTTCAAGCATTAAAGGCCAAGTTTGAGTGGGATGAAGAATGAGACCGCGCCCTTGAAAGTTTGAAAGAATACATGTCTTCTCCACCACTGCTAGTGACCCCAATACCTGGAGAAGAACTATTTTTGTACCTGGCA